CAATATTCTATATCACATTCAATCGGCAACTTCGTCAAACAGTCGGATTCAACAATTAACACTCTCCAATTATCAAAATCACAAAAACCCAATACCATTTCATAAACCAAGATAACACAAAATCATCAATCAGTTAAAAACAAATGACGTTTTTCAAACACAATAGGTGTTCCTCTAGCTCAAAATGATAACTATGTCAGTATTGAAGCCACCCCAACACTTGCCCACCGATCCCAGCACCCCAAATCTAAAAATTCTCATAATTCCACTCCCAGTTCAATCAAATACCAAATCTTTCAACAATTTCCCACCAACCCAATTCACAAAAATCAATACTTTACCTCAAAAGCCATTCCATATAATTCAGAGACGAACAAATGTATCGTAAGTGATTGAAAAGAGAGAGAGAGGGGTACCGAGTGAGTGATCTGGTGGACGAGGAGAGAAGGCGAGCTCTCAGGAGAGATGGCGCGCGGGAGATCACTGGGTGTCGAAGCCGCGAGAGCGCCATTTTTGTTTTCGTGTTACAGAGAGGCCTTTGTTCTACCTTTTTCCTTTAAATTTTGCTCAAAGCATATTTTAATTAGTGAAAGATATTTATACATGTAATCAAAGTAAATTATCTAATTAAAAAAATAACTCACGTAATTACATATCTAATTTACTCTCATCTTCTTCTATTTTTTATTTTTTTTAGTACATTTTTATATTAAGGGAGGAAAGTTTAGCTAATTCACACTATGAACAGTTTAATTTGATATCAAATTCACTATTTACGATATTCAAACTTAAAACCACTCACTTGTAAGTGAAACAGAATATCATCAAACTATAAAAAAATTAAAATATTTTAAAAAAACTTAAAAATGAATTGTAGGTAAGCAGGCTGGTGTGCTCCCTCTTTTAACGACTGTTGCAAACCCACCTAACCTCCCTAACACACACTATACACATTTGTTTTTTCTGGTCAAATATAAACTTTTTTTTTTGTTTGTTAATTTATAGGATTTCCCCACCTCAGTTATAAATTTTAATTCAAGGTGTTCAGTTCAGGGGGTAAGGTTTTCATCGAAGGGGCTAACTATAGTTTCATTCAATTATAGGTTGTACGGTCATGCAAGAAATTATTTTTAAATGAACATTGTCAAACCATATTTATATACTATCTCTAACTAAAGCGACTAAACATCAGTAAGATAGTATTTAAGGTGAAGAGGATGTGAGAATAATATAGAAATGGGATAGGAATTTATAGGGAAAAAATAGATTTTTTTTTTTTTAATTCTACCTTAAAAATATCTAACTACTAACTAAGGTTAGCTAGCATTTGCCCTTCCCAGTCGTTGGATTTGAATGTGCATATGTAGCTCTGCTGTTGGGCCCCAAAAAATGGGTTGGGAGGAGGGCCAAGCTTGGCCAACTCAATGTCCTGTGGGCCGAATTTGGTAGACTCCATTAAATTATAATTCAGTCATCCATTAAATATGGGTTATGAGAAAATTCTGGGCATTTTTATTTTTTTGGACCTTTAGCATGGAGATGGTCTTAAATAAATGGAAATACACGAAAATAGAACTATTAAATTTTCAATGTTCTCTCCAAACAAATTGATTCTTATCTTCGCTTGTCACCGGCAAATCAACCTCAACCATACCGATTGGCATGTATTGATACGACTTCCGGTCACCTAAGACGTGCCGTGTACGAGCCTAAAACTCATCCCCAACCATGGCCACCTCGTGGTGGTTGAAAATAGTTGTTCATTCATCCATGAAGGAAAGAAGATCACATTGAAGCCTCTTCAACCGAAGCCTATAGCTTGTTTCAAAATCTAGTAGAGGAGGTCAGCTTAAGGCAAATAAGTTAAAAGCTCTACACATCATTAAACCAAGCATATTCATGAAGAAGGCAGAAGATATTCTATGTGTTTGCGCACTAATTCTGACATTTTTTTAGCAATGCAACAGTCTTAAACACATTGGAGTCGAGTTCTTCTCAGCCGGAGAGAATTGATGAGGACATCAACGTCAATCGTTTAGGGTTTACTGATGAAAAGGATGAGAAAAGAAAGAAAATAATGCAGATTAAGGCTTTAGAGCTGATCTTCCTCAACTTTCATTAGCTTTATTGACATATTACCTTCATTAGCCAATTCTTGTAACCATGTTGAGAGGCCCACTACACCATCTTCGGTTACCATCAATAAAAGAGGGAGGGAAGTACCTGCAAAAAACTCCAACAATCAAGTTAATAAGTGCTTGATATGATTGCAAGAGAATTTTAGAACAACTTCACACCTTTTTCTACATCAATGCTGGTGGGAGTATTGGCCTTTTATAGCCATTGAAGCCTTGGGTTCCAAGTACCACATTCCCTAACTATCTCCCATGTTTTATTGCAGTGGGTGTTGCTTGCTTGATTGTAGCTCCACCTCCCCATATTTGGTGTGCTCGTGGCTTGTTTAGTGGACAGGGCTACAAGTTCTTTGGTGATGTATGGACACGTTTTATTTGTTTTACATCACATTACAATAAAATTATGACTTTATAGAATACCAAATGTAATTTCTTGCATTTTAGTTAAAAACAAATGTCACGTACATTGTCTACTCTTTTCATCCTTCCTCGACGTTTTAGTTTAAATTCTTGTTTACTTGCATTTTGACTTCACCCTTTTTTATGTGAATGGAAATCCTATTACTCATTTTCAATAGGGAGGCTAGTTGATAATTTGTGTGGTTACTGGGCACCCACCTTAGATTGAATATCAAAAATGGAAAAGAAACGGATGTGCTTTTAGTGTTTTAATGCCGATCCTTGATACTAAATTCAAAGGTGAGTGATCATGAATCAACAACTACTGACCAAGAAATCATGACTCCCAATAAAATTTGATTAATTTGAAGTTGAAGAAAAAGAACGGAATAGAAGCATTTTGTGCGCATGATTTCTTGGCTTTTTGAAGTGGAAAGATTATAAACCAACGAGGAAATAAATATAGGTTTGTAACTATATATATCATGCATACGACCCACAAGAATCAAAATTACGCAACTAAATATTCATGCAAGTTGACCACAAACACTACTCTCCTAGCAAAGCAGGTCTGGAGAGTGTTGGAAAAACCTAATGATTTTCGGGTTGGAATTCTAAAAGCTCGCTATTTTCCCAGGGTGATCTTCTCACTGCCATTCGTGGATCCTGTCCCACGTGGGCTTGGTCCAACTTACTGGAAGGTATGAATATCATTCGGGAGGGCTGTAAATGGCAGGTTGGTGATGGTTCTCGGATTCGTATATGGAGTGATAATTGGCTTCCTCCTATCCGCTCCTCTCGCTTAACTCCTACAAGGATTGAACCTGGACCAATTCCAACAATGGTCTCCTCCTTAATTGACACGGAATTTATGTCTTGGATACTTGATACCATATCACATCATTTCTAATCAGAGAAGTCATTTCCTCTATTCCTCTTCACCTTATTGAGAATGAAGACCGGCTCATTTGGCCTTGGATTAGAAATGGGGATTACTAAGTTAAGAGTGGATATCGGTGGGCCATTGAGAAATCTTCGCATGGTTTATCTGCTCCTCCCCACTCTTCCCACCAGATTGAGACAAGAGTATGGAAATTGAATGGAAGCTTAAAATGATTCCCAAGATCAACAAATTTCTATAGAGAACCATGTCTAATTGTGTTCCTATAAAGTTGAATTTGTTCAAACGTCATATAAATCCTAATCCTTCATGTCCTTTTTGCATGGAGCTTGAAGAATCCATTGAACATATCTTATTGTTATGCCCGGAGCAGGTATCGGCTATCGCCCTAATGTACCAGCTGTCACTTCCTTGGACAGGTGGTTTTCAGCTATGAAGCCTATTGATTCTACTCCAATCTCTCAGAATCACAAGGTGCTTGCTTAAGTTGGGAGATATGGAAAGAAAGTTCATACTTCACCTGAGGGATCTCTTTCTTCTCCCATATGGACTGCCCTACTCCCCCTTTTTTCAAGATTAATGTGAATGGCGCATGGATGACTCCTTTTCAGGCCAAGGTGGCTATTGTCTTTCGAGACTCTCAAGGTTTGCTGATTGGTGAGGATGCAAAATATCTAGTTCGGGCTTCTTCTGAAGAAAGAAACCGAGGCTAAAGCTATATTGGCAGGGATTGAGTTGGCTCGCGAACACCACATGGAGCATGCCATTATCGAGAGTGATCCTAAAGCTGTTTTTGAGATTCTTTCTAAGCGCACGCGCAAGGGTTCTTGGCGCATTTGCCCTATCGTTGATGTAAAGTTGGCCAACTCGAGGGTGAGCTCCTAAAGTTGGCCACCTTTGGTGATGGTTTTATCTCATGACGATTTACCATGCCCTCCCGTAAATGAGGTTTGAGGTTGGTGGCTTTGTCCCTCCATCCTCCTCGTTCGGTCGCCTTTTTGCCTTTTGGGTGGTATTTCCTTGTTTGGCTGAGAATCTTGCATTTCCTGTATATTTAGTTTGTATGGCATTTCTTCCATGCTGGGATTAGGTTGGCCTCTAGTGCCTCCTACAATGTGTTGGAATATTCATGCGGAAATTGCAGTAACATGCGTGGCTTTTCTATATTTTTATTGTGTTATTATCACCTACATTAATAAGAAAAAAGGGGAGGTCCAGGGCTGGCTTTCTTGTAAAGGAAACAATGAAACTTACAGCATCATGACTTTTTATGGTTGTATGGTAGTAACAAATTTAAGTGAAGACGCAACAACACAATAATCTAATTAAACAAGAGACGACAAGTGACTTATAACTCGGTTAACAATTTTCATATTTGTAATCGAAGTCACAAAGTTCGATTGAATTTTGAAAAGCTAAGGCCAAAAAAACAAAAAACAAAAAGTTGCTCATGATCATGCACTTTTCAATCAAGAAACACAAATTTAACATTTCCATAACATTGGTCAAGATGAATCGAAAGAATCAAAAGAATAGTGTTTCAATTTTGAATGGCGGAATAACAGAAAAGTTAAAAATAAATAAATAAATAAAGAGTTGGTAATTCACATCAAGTTGACCATTGATCATATCAACTGTGGAGTGAAGAAATCACTTAAAAAAAATCTTAATTATTTTTTTTTAGTAATGACAATCCACCAAAATTTGTGTTCTTAACCTTTCTTGCTGCTGCTGTTCTTGTTGCTGCTGCTTTGAAGCAAACACAAACTTGGTTTCTCTGTGGTGATCATCTTCTGAAGGTGCTGGAAGGTTGAGATCCAAATCCAAATTCAACATGCTTTTCTGCTTCTTCATGGGCAGCTGTGGTTGCTGCTGTTGTTGCTGTTGATGAGATTCAAAGGCCGCTGAGACTGGCGGAGGCGTCAACGACAAGGTTGTGTTGGTGGCTCCAGTCGGCCCCCTGTGGCGCCTCATGTGGCCGCCCAAGGCCTGTCCGGATGTGAATTCCGCGCTGCAAATTGAGCACTCGTGGATTTTAGAAGAGGACTTGTTGGAGCTCAAAACCAAACCCCTGTTGCTCAAATGGAGAGAAAGTGGAGATGAAGATGTCTTGATGTTGTTGTTGTGGAAAATGTTGTTCTTAAACAATTGCGTGTCTTGATCTTCATCCGACGGCGGCAATAGCCCAATTCCAACGTGTTTGTTTTTGTGATCGTCTCCTATATTCGCCTTCGGCTTCTTGTGACTCGCCCTGTGACCCCCTAATGCTTGGAAAGAAGGGAACGTTCTGTTACAAGTCTTGCATTCATACACATAATACCCAGCCGCCCCCGCCACCTTGCCCGCCGGGGCAGTTGTTGCTTCCAAGAATCTTCGACTACTTGTAGTAATATGATCGTTGTGGGGTTGGTGGTGGTGATCGGGGGAGGAAGAAGCCGCCCGGGATTGGCCTTGCGCCAAAAGAATTAGGCAGTTTGCCATGTCCTCCTCTTCTGATGTGGTGCTGTCTTGGAATATTTCAGCTGATGTGGTGGGGGACAAGTTGGTACTATTGATGCAATCGTTGTTATTTTCGCCGCCATCACCACCTCCACGGTCGCCAACGCCACCCTCCGGGGAAGATGAGTTTCTTGGGATGGCAAAAGGGATTGGGGATTGGGGCCTCAGGCGTTTTGTGCGCTTACCCTTCATAATATTAATATTGTTGTTATGTTGTTCCTTGCACCCCAAAATCATGACTTCCTCTTGATGATGACGATCACCACCTGCTGCTTCCATGGCTGGTTCCTCCTCGTCTACCTTCAAGAGACTTGGGAATTAGTGCTTAGAGAGAGAGAGAGAGAGAGAAGAGAGAGAAAAAAGAGAGATTTAATTGGTAGGGGTGGAAGGAAGAAGAGAAGACTGTTATTGTATATATATATAGTGAATATTGACATGTTGGAGGAAGTCACAATTACAAGGCCATACCCCAACACAACAGTAACTGTGAATTTAGTCTCCCCAATCTTTTGTTGAGCTTCCAAGGTATTTATAAAGGGAAACGATTTATACAAACCTCTTTTCTTCTTGTACGTTCCCGTTTTGTTTTGTTTTTTAATTCCTTATTGACTTAATCAATCTCATGGTCAGGAAAAAGAAACAGGGATGTGCATAAGGAGAAAGCGGGTATACAAAAGTCATTTTCGTTTATAAAATTGAAATTGTTTTTAGAAATTGAAAAACCAACAAATAATTTTAGAGAGTGAGGTTTTAGTAAATGTATGTGGGATAGATAGAGATTTAAGGCAGGGAAAGCCAAAAACAAAAACCAGATGTAACGGAAAAGAGTTGCAAATTTAGAGAAGTGAGGTTGTTAAACGCAAAGTCCGTTTCATGCTCTCTTTCTCACACTTTGCCAACCACGCATTACTTCTTCACCAATTGCAAATTTGCAAACACAAAAACAAACAAACCAAAGCTAATGAGGTTCCACCATATACATTACCATGCACCTTCATAATCTAACCTACTCTCACCTCCAAAGCGCGTGTTCTTCATCTTCCAATTTCCCAACACACACTACGAAGTAATTGCCACCTAGGTAATTAAGCTCTTCACTCAAACAATCAACTTGTACTAGTCCCACAAATTAGGTGCAAAGTCTAAGATTGTATTAAACTACTAATTAATAAGTGTCCTCAACTTGTTGATTGAGATTTAAGGAAGTATGGCTTTTTAAATCACTTACCAACTATACCAAATGTATGTTTTTGGCATTTCCTTTCAGTTAGATGTTAATTAATTAATTATTGTTATGTAATCCTAATTTGAAATAAAGACAGTTAATCCTTGATTCCTAAAAATTAACCAAGTTAGGTTAGGTAGTCAAGACTTGAATATATACATTTGAGTTGATTGTGTTATATTTTTTTTTTTACTCAATAAAAATAATTTAAAGAGAAAATAAACTTAACGATATGGTATCTCACTGAGTATTTATTTTTCTTTTTTCTTTTTTTTTTTATGTAGAGGAACCATATCACCTATATGTAGCATATCATAGCATTTATTCAACAAGTTAAGAAGATCAATACCTGAAAATGAAGGAGAACGAGAGTTAATTATATTGTCTCCTTTAATAAAGTAAGAATAAGTGTTCTATTAATGAAACTTGCATATGTATTGTAATATTTAATGACAAATAACGCATGCAAGTAAAATTTAAGCGATTTGTCCAAATATGTGTAAGCACACTACAAGTCTAAAACGCTTGAAAATGGAATTTCACATAACATAGTACTATGTTCTTTGTGTTTTATTGATCAAAGTTGAAAAGGAGTGGTGTTTGAGCCTAGAGCTTTGTTAGGCGCGTGTGAGTTTACACTCCCACACTTGCTACTAACACGTCTTGTTGAATATACAGCAAAATACAGGCTGCAGTTCCACATGTACATGTGTACATGTTATTTTAGTATTGAGAGAGAGAGAGAGAGAGAGAGAGAGAGAGAGAGAGAGAGGGAGAGGATTGGAATTTACAAAGTGTGTTGAAGGGAAGCAAGCAAAGCAAAGGCAAAGGCTGAAAGGCAAAGCCCCATTACTTTGCCTCAACGATTTGTGTAGAGACGATGATTGGAGTGCAAGCCTGGAACCACGGAATCTGCGGTGCTCCCCTCACTCCCACTCCTCTCAACATTTTACCTTATATATATATATATATATATTCTTGTATTTTAATCTATAATTTCTATTATCTATTCTATGTATGACAGTTTATGTTGTCAAGTGTTGTCATGCTTGCACGACCACACATTACATGCAATTTTTGAGTGTCTTCTTAATTTATTTTTGTTGGTTGTGAAAACAAAAACTTGGTTACACCAGTTTTATACACTGATTTATCGTCACATAATGTGAGAGAAAGACACAACCGATGTATGAAACGAGAATATGAGAGTTTTTCTCGCATTTTGGGACTAAATTTAGCGACTTGTAATTTAACTCTCCTATATTTAAGGATTTTCTTTTCCTTTTTTTAAGAGAAATTACATCCAACTAAATTTGGATTCCTCTAAATTCATGCTTCATGATGATCAAGATCTATGGGACAATTATATGACAACAGAGATATATGGTACATCATTTTTGTCATACTTACAACTCAACCACTAAATATGTACTGTATTAGTGATCAATCAAGAATGGAAATTTCTCAATCACCATTCAAGATAAATATGCACATTTTACCTTAAATGCCAATGAATCTCTTGATTTTCTGTGCCATGTAATAGTTTAATATCACCCCTAGCTTGAGAAATTTTCAATGCCTGGAATAAGGGGTGATACGCCATACGTTATTATACAAGTGGAAAATTTTTATTCAAGTGTCCCTCCATTTGTATAATAATGTATAGCGTGTGTGTCTGTACTCCGAGCACACTAAAAAAAAAACTCTCCCAACTTTTAGGCAACATCGTCACCCATCTTCTTTGGTTCAATTGTTTTGGTTAAGTTTTGAGCATTGTTTGACTCTTCTATGTGATAGGGTTCATAAATTGAAAATTAGTCTACCAATATGTGAAACTAATTGTTCAAATTATATGGGACGAATTTCGTACACACATTTTAAAGAGTAATGTTAGAAATATCATATATTTATATCACATTTGTGTATTATCTGATGTGGCAAGTAATGCATACAACTAATAATATCTAACGAGATCAAGTCATTAATTGATGTGTCATGCATACATCACTTGACACATTAAATAATACGTGATACAAAAATGCGTACTCCCTAATAGCTCATTAGAGTCATTATACAAGTAGTCATGCATGTATGTTCCATCTGTTTTTAGTTGAAATTTGAAATACTTTAGATTGCCTTAAATATCAGTTTTCTTTTTTGGGAAAAGCCTTAAATATCAGTTTTCAAGTCATTAAAAATATATATAAATCCAACAAATAAAAATGTCACTAAAATAAAGGAGGAAAATTAATAAAACAAGATGCCTTTTTATTTTCCTCGTTTTCCCTTTCTTTCGATTTCATGGGTTTTGACTTATACAATTCATGCCACCATGTGCGAGGCAGTGAGTGTGATGTCTCGTAGCCTAAATCCTCGTTATATATACCAAGCCAAAGATTAAAGAAAATGATTTATATGTCTTTGGTTGAATAATAAATTATTTTCCAAAAAAAAAAAATTAATATGTATTTTGTTTAAAATAGAGTAATTTTGCTCTTAAATACAAGTAGCACGAAATATAAATATTTTTGGAGTTAAGGGTAAGCTGGTTTGTTTCTCAAACTGCACTTCATGATAAAATTAATTAATGGAAACTAAACAATGCTGCTAAATTTTAAATTTTCTTTTATCCAACAAAATATGAATTTTAAAACGTAGTAATTTGGATAAGTATCTTTGTGAGTATTATTAGGAACACTATTTGTTTGTAATCAATCAGTTCTTGTGTGCTGTTGACCCTGCAGCAGCCAGTCATATTCCCCAAGTACTAAGCCCGTTTCTATGATTATCAACTAATTAATCCTGTTCTGCATATATTCTATGTATAAGCTGATCATCATTGAGGTTCACTTAAAAATATTGAAATGGATGGAAATAATTATTAACAAACCTTATTTTAAATGGTTACTAATAAGAAAGAAAAATTAAACAGAAGTTATATGTTAAAGTGCTGAAGTCATTGAAATTGTGCACCAGAATTATGACACAGCTTATCTTTGGGATGAACATCTCTTCTTAGTGGCGAACTACTACTTGAAGTTGTTCAAGTTATAAATATAGCGTATGCACTTTTATTAGTACGTATTCGAGTACCCTTATTTTTTAGGGAACTTTAACGAAAAGCTCCCGGTACTGTTCATTTTAACGAAAAACCATATTTTTACACTAAAAAGTCAATTATGGTACTATTCATTTTACCCTTTATTTTGTCCTTATCATTAAAACTCAAAGTTTTCAAGCCATTTTCATTAGTTTTCCTTATTTTTTAATACCAGATATATGAGGGAAAGACAATTGAACTTGGGATTGGTGTATGGTCGGGTGAATGCTCTTAATCATCTAAGCCATTATTCAGTTAAAAAGCATTGTTTGATTGAATGAATTAGGTTTAAGAATGTATATGTTTTTTATTGCATAACGTTTAAGAATGTATATATTTTTTAAGGTAATAAGTATTTCATTAATTAAATAAACCGAATTCCATCATAGTTCTTTGTCAGGCGAACAAACAAACAATGAAACCACAACTAAAACAAAGGAAAAAAAAACGTCACAACACAAAATAAACTCTTCAAAGGTACGATTCCTCAATTATGGGAGACTTGCACTTAACCAACCAGAAAGATAAGCTTAGAAGGCCTTAGCCCTACAAGCTGAACCAAACACCGTCAAGACACACAAGGTAAATATTATACCCTCACCTGAAGACTTTGCGACAAGAAAGCGTGATTGTGGATCCCTGAAAGCACTAAGGAAAGACGGGACCAACTTTGGTGATCTTGCAATCGTCGACAAAACCCTGTTATGAGTCAACTCCAACAAAAGTTGAGCTTCCTCCACATAATCCTTGCCAAGCATGCAAACCACAAAAATCACCACCTCAGATTTGGCTCGCTTTAAGATTCGGGTTCATGCCAGGGCGCTCAACCATGGAGGCAATCTATCTCTTACGAAGATTGATGGAAAGATATAGAGATGGGAAAAAGGATTTACACATGGTCTTTATAGATTGGAAAAAGCGTATGATAGGGTCCCAAGAGACATTCTTTGGAGGATTTTAGAGAAGAAAGGAGTACGAGTAGCATATATCCAAGCTATAAAGGATATGTATGAAGGAGCAAAGACTGCCGTAAGAACTCATGAAGGACAAACCGAAAGCTTCCCCATAACTGTAGGATTACATCAAGGCTCATCCTTAAGTCCTTACCTTTTTGCGTTGGTAATGGATGAGTTAACAGGACATATTCAAGATGATATTCCTTGGTGTATGCTTTTCGCAGACGATATAGTGTTGATAGATGAAACTCAGGAAGGGGTAAATGCGAAGCTTAACCTTTGGAGAGAAGTGTTGGAATCTAAAGGTCTTCGCCTAAGCTGATCAAAGACAGAATATAT